AGGTTGAGGACCACTGACCTAAAACCTTAGATTTACTGGCACAGAGTCGGCCACAGTATCCCCTTTATTACCCTTCAATACCTGTGGGGTCTGGTAGCATTCCTTCTCAACTTCTTCTCATTAGTCATCCTGATGAGTTTCATTAGACTTTAGCCACTTTTAAGTTTTAAAAATGCCAACTCATAACCTGGCACTATTTTTTTTTAATTATTATTTCTGTTGTTATGCTTACTGTGGGCTACAGTTATTCTCCTTGTTCCAGCTTCATTGGTTGTAGACTTCTAATGCATAGAGAAGTAGATGCTATGCACACTTCTCTTTTAAGGACGACTTTAGCACAGTCCCAACTTTTGATATGTTGGCTTTTCATTATCATATGGTTCAAAATATTTTTACAATTCTCTTGTGTTTTATTCTGTAATTCATATTTAGATATGTGGTATGTACTATCCACATGCTAATTGTGATTTTCAAGGTATCTTAATAGGATTGAATACCATAGCACTCAGAGAACACACCTATTATGATTCTGATCCTGAGAGATTTATTGAGGCTTGTTTGATGGCCCTGTCATATTATCTGTCATGGTGAATGCTACTGTTGGATATAGTTTCTACACATGTTACTTTGCTCAAGTCGATTCATTGTAATTTTCACATCTTTCTTTGTTTTCAGACATTTATTGAGGGCTCTTAGAGCTCTTGTAACAGTCCAGACATCAGTTGTATCAAGCACGTTTGTACATATGTTGCCATCACTATTTTCTAGACATTTATTTTCTGTTGAGCCCTTGGTGTCAGCTCTTCTTCCCCTTTCATGTCTTCTAGAGCAGCGGTTCTCAACTTTCCTCATGCTGAGACCCTTTCATCCAGTTCCTCAAGTGGAGGTGACCCCCAACCACAACATGATGTTCTTTGCTACTTCATCACTGTCATTTTGCTACTGTTATGAATGGGGCAACCCATGTGAGAGGGTTGTTCGATCCTCAAAGGAGTTGCGACCCACAGGTTTGAGAACCGTTCTAGATCTAGATCTCTTTTTTTTTTTTAAGTTTCTTTGTTAATTAATTAAGAAGATCTTTATTTATTAATTAAGAGATCTTGTTCTAGATCTCTCTTTTTTTTTTAAAGTTTCTTTATTAATAGACACAGCACACAGCTGCTATTTTTTAATCATTTTATTGGAGGCTTGTAAAACGCTTATCACATACATCGATCCATTGTGTCAAGCACATTTGTACATTTGTTGCCATCATCATTCTCGAAACATTTTCTTTCTACTTGAGCCCTTGGTATCCACTCATTCCCCACCCCCACCCCCCATGAACCCTTGATAATTTATAAATTATTATTATTTTTTCATGTCTTACACTGATCAATGTCTCCCTTCACCCACTTTTCTATTGTCCAACCCCCTGGGAGGGGGTTATAGATAGATCATTGTGATTGGTTCTCCCTTTTCTCCCCCCACTTTCCCCTTCCCCTCCT